AATCAATGAATTGAATCACTGTCCCTGATTCGGGCTGAATCCGAATTCGAATTGAATAGGGCCCGCTTCGCATACCCTTACTACCCACCTAAGTGAGGCTTCATGGGCCCAAACTTTCAGTGATGCAAAACATGGCCCAACTCTCCCTTAATAATTGATTTGCTAATCTGCTGCATTTCCAAATATAAATAAATAAATAAATAAATCCCTAATAAGCTTATATATTAACAATAATAGCAAAAAACTCTTTCATTCCTCAAAGGTAAAAGCAGTCAGACTTTCATTACTGCTGATATTTTGGCCTAAAGGCACCCTTTTTGCGATGCCAAAATGTAATAATTAAAGAGAGGGAGCCAACATCAATCTCTGTTTATTGGCATTGCTTACCTTTTTACTCCAATACACCTGGAGGGTTATAACTGACAACAATTTAAAAACAGGTTTGCTGTGCACCATTTATGCCTTTTTTTTTTTAACATTTTAATTGCACTCTGTTTCTAGTATAAATAGTTCAGTTTCATTTTCTGGCTCTTATGCAAAACAGCACAGTGTTTTTTGTGCTCAACCTTTGTAAAGAATTCTCTGCAGTTTCATTTCCACTCTGCACCTTTTGTCTTTGCTTTCCATCAGCATACGCATGATGCTGTGTTACTCATGAATACTCAAGACAAGTGCATTTAAACTTTGGACACTGCAGACAACTGGCAAAATCTCCCAAAAGAACCTTGATGCAGGGACAATTCAACTAGATAAAGGTCTAACTGAGCTCTTCGCAAGTAGGACGATGCAAATGTCTGCAAATAGTTTGTGGAAACAACCCTGGGGGAGATATCAAATCAATGAACACAATGTGTGTAGTACATTTCCGTTCAGCTGGGTCACTGTTTGACACAGCAGTTAAGAGTTCTGCAAACTCCTACCCAGGTTCCTGGCATAGAGGCAGTTTTATGAGCCGTGCCACAAGCTGTCTCCATCCGTCACAGATACGATCACACATGCAACTACTTGGTCTAGATGTGATGAGAAAAAAATCATTTAAAGTCCGAATCCATCCAATAAATCTTACAATAGCCTCATTTTTTGTAGGAAGATTGCCTTAGGCAAGATCTCTCTGCTCCAGAGAGTGTAATGTTTACAACCACCCCCTCCTCTCCAGTCCTGTTTATCTGCTGCAAAGGCTTCCTGAAACTTCCTCCTGTGTATAAGTGTTATAACCAAAGAACAGAAACTTTGCAGTGGGACTCTTGTGACTAGCCATAGTCCAGTGGAACATCAAGCACCCCAGATTTGCTATGCATTGTTTGCCATCAGTTCATACAGAAATAAACACCCCCACTTCACCACAAAATCCATGGGGTAAGTTTGAGTAAGAAATAACATTTGGGAGAATCGTGATCTGCTTGTAAATTATCCTCAAACTCTAAAAGAGGTTAAATGTGCCAAATAAATTAATCCTAAGGAATCATTCATTTAGCTCTATCTGAAGGGAGCTAAGGGAAGGGCATAATTACTCTGAAGAATGAAAGGTGCTGACAAATTAATCATGAAATAACTACTACTCATATTGAAGTCCTGCATATCCCTTTTTGGGCCAAAAGTCAACTGAGAGTGGTCCTTTCTAGCCGATGCAACTGTCTCTATGATAAAGGCTTGTTGAATGCAAGCCAACCAATCAGAAGCTTAATGTTATCAGTAGAAAAATATATCTGCACTTAAGATTTTGTTCTGACTGATTTAATTATATATCTTTTGGTGCCATTTCTCAGGCTATGGACTGATTGGCTGATCTGTATTAGCAGGCCATTTAGATGAATTATAATTATAACTATGGGTTGTCAGTAGACAAAGATTTTTTGGCTAAACCATTAATGCTGGGTGGTATGGCAGTTCTTTGACATGGGAAATGAAAGCTTTAATGAAATGCTGGAGTTCGGATTTGGGGATTCCTTTTAGGCTTGGTTTGTAACTGATGATGGTGATTCTCTTGTTGGTTTTGCTTCTTATGTTCATATGCAACTTCTTGGCCTCTTCCTGGCTTATTTCACAGGCTCCAAGAGGATAGCATATATACATATATTCAGTGTTGATTAATGTAGCTTTCCTTAATATGCGTAAGTGTCATATAACCATGTCTCTGACATTGGCTGCAACCTATACCAGGAATGTCTTTAATCACTACCTGCACTGGGTAGTGCTTTGAGCCAGGTGAGGGTTGACTCAGCAGTAAAAACACCTGAGCCCAGGTGAACCTAGTTTTCCCACCGGCGTTGGCATCCATGGTAGCATTCTGCTTTTTGGGAATACCGAGAACAGCTGTAGTGCAGGCAAATCTTCATGATAGAAAGCTCATGCAAGCCTCATTCTGTAAGATCCTTCCCCTTACTGACCCTACACAGCCCTACTCCCTCAGGGCAAGAAAGCAGACTTCTTTCATTTGAAGGTGCAGTGCACAGAAAGCAAAATCCATAAGTCCAGGTATTTGTTATTGTTCTTTAAAGAAAAGAGCAGACTGATTTCCATTTTCAATCATTATAAACTTCAGATAAAAGAAGATTAATCAATCAGTATGCTTCCTTAATAACGATAGGCAAAGCAACAGTATTAAATGATGGAGAACTACTGTAATTAGGGATCTATGTTCACCTGAAAGAGAACACTATCAAAGTTGTGTAAGTTATACTCCCATACACATTGTATGTCATTTTTCCCAAAAGAGTGGGCTAAATTCAGAGGTGATGTTGAAGGTCAACCCTTAACCTTGGAAGGGAGATTAGATCCCTTACTGGTAAAGAACACAATAGAGCAACTGAAATAGGTAAGTTTAAGGTATATGACAGGCAGTGGGTTGAAAGGAGTCTAAACTGATTAAACAGAAATATCAGGGAGTCACAAGAAGGTATAAAAAGTAGAGCTGTGCGAGGTTTCGGACCTTGCTTCGGATCCGGAGAAGCTTCGGATGCTTTGGTGTCCAAAGCAGCATGTCTGGATCGAAGCACTGGCTTCATTAGGCTTTCTGAAGCAGTTCGGAGCTTCCAAAGTGCTTCGGAAAACTTTGGAGCTGCTTTGGAGATCCAGCCATAGGGTATAATGGGGAAATCA